GGCGTTTTCTACATCCCAGCGGAATGAGCACTCGGATGTGGAAATGGCAGAAGTGAAAGGGATAATAATGCCTCTCTTCCACATTGAGGCGATGGACTGCAGTCGGTACCCATCACATATGAAGGAGGCAATGGAGGCTCAGAGAGGTGGTGGGGCAGCCCGAGGGCCCTCAGCCAGCCTGCAGAGGAGAGACAGGACAGGAAGCAAGTTTGTGAGCCAGGCCTAGCCCTGCCTACCTTACAATGAGAAGCCCAAACAGCAAACACTCATCCAGAGAGATGGGTCAAATCCGTACAGGGCAGTGGGGAGGGGGCACGAGTGTGCCGCCACCTTCAGGATGCCCTACATGAAAACGGAAGGGCGTAGTGGCTCCCTGCTTACGTGCACACGGAATAAGTCTGGCAGGACGTGAGCTGCTGCACTGGTATCCCCGCAGGAAACGGCTGATGGGGAGACAGGCGGGGGAAAAGACCCTCTGCACAGCCTTCTGTACCTTTTGGATTTTGAACACAAAGAATGTATTACTTATTCAAAAAATCATAACCTTTCTTAAAAAGACAGTGACAGAGAATCTCCTTGTTCAGCCTCTTGACTTCGATGAAACAGACCGCTCCTGAGCACCCAGGGTATGCCAAGCCCTTGATGGCCACTGTGGGTTGTATCTTCTGCCCAGGAGCCCACTCACCCTAGGCAACCCAGGCCTCCCAGGCTGGATGGCAGGATGGGTGACCACAGGACTCCCACAGCGTCTCCCTGTTAGGCATTTGTCCAGACCCCCAGGCACCCAAGACTGGGAGCCTCAGCTGATGAGGGGAAGGGTCTGTCCAGGGCCAGCCTCTGTGGGCTCTGAGGACCACTGACTCTTCCAGACAGAGTCTCCATGGGGCCACAGAGAGGGAGCAAGCCTGAGCCGCCTCCCCTCCTGCGCTTCCTCAGAAAGGCTATGACACAATCACGCCCTTTCTTCTCTTGCTTCAAGCACTCCTGTTTGTACCAAGACAGTTCTGAAACAGCGAGTCCCCAGATGGAGCTCAGGTTGGTGGGAAGAGGGGCAGGCCCAGGTTCTCTGGCATTGCAGTTGAGACCGCCCCGGCCCCTCTCCTGTAGCCCTCTGGCATTTTTCGGCCTCTGCTTTCTGCTCCTAACCGCCTGTCCTGTGGCAACCTGGACACTCGGCCTTCCCGCCCCTGCCTCCACGTTCACAGCGTGTGTCCCCGAGTGTCCTCTGGTCATGCCAGGAAGAGATGAGTGCCTCCACTGGGGAGCAGCTTCACCTCTGTGTCCCCAGGCACTCCCAGAGTAGGGGCGGCTGTTTCTGGAGGAGCCACGTGGCCCCAGGGCCTAGATGTATGAAGTGAAATGCTCTCTGGCCATTGCTCCAGAGGACCCAGTGTTAGTCCAGGGGCTCCCTGGGAATGCGGCAGGGTTATTGCCTCCCACGTACAGATGAGACGAGGCGCAGGCATGTTATGAGACCTGCCCTCCACATAGCTAGAGAGTAGAAGCTGGTGCTTTAATCCGGGGTCCTGGCTCCGCATCTCAGACTCTCCTCACAATAGTGCTGGAAGAGGATTTAGGAGTCACTTAGAATGACCTTATGGTTTACGAGTGAGGACCTGAGCTCAGAGAGGGTGAGGGGGATCACCAAGCGCACACCGCATGTAAGAAGCAAAGCTAGACTTCAAGAGCCCACCCCCGTCTCCCAGGCTGGAGGCTGTTTTATCCTGGCAAGGGCATGGAAGAAAAGCAGGTGGTCAAGGTGCACTGACTCCCTGTGTCCTCAATCTGCCCAGCTCGCTTCCATTCCTCAGCAGTTGCCCCTCGTCCAGTGGCTGTGAATGCGGACACACTGAAGGGCAGACGGAGAAGTCACTGAGTGAACCCAGCTCCAGGGTACTATGTCATGGAGGCGACGGCCGTCCCTTGGAAGTGTTTGCCCTACCTACAAGCATTTCTGAAACTAAATAAAATTCTAAAAGTATAAAATCAATGCTTCAAAATATATCGATAGAGTGGGAATAGGGGGAGCAGCAGAAGCGAGTTTGGCCATAAGCTGTGATTACGCAGCTGCATGCCAGGGACCAGGCCATTAACACTATCTGGGCTGAATATGTACATTCGTTAAATTTTCCATAGCGAGGTTTTTTGTTTGTTTGTTTTAATTAATGTGCTGTCAAAAAAGCATAGGCATCAGGGAACCAGCAGTTAGCATAATGGCTATGTCACTGGACTCCCACGTAGTCGACCGCGGTTCACGTCCTGGACCCGGTGGCTTAAAACTCACGCCGGGCACGTGTGTGTGCATGTCCAAGATCCCGAGAGGGGAATGGAGGAGAAGGGATTGCGGCGTGGCCTGGGGGGTGATTTCTCGCTTTCTGTCTCTATGTGATTTCTCGCTTTCTGTCTCTATGTCTCTCTCTGTCTGGCGAGTGCACACACCCTCTAGCGAAAATCTCTCAAAAAAAAAAAAAAAAGCATAGGCATAATGGTCATGTTGCTGGACTCCCATGTAGTCGACCATGGTTCGAGCTCCAGACCCGGGGCTTAAAACTCATTCCTGGTGTGTGTATGCGCGCACCCAAAATCCCAGGAGGAGAAAGGAGGAGAAGGGATTGCAGCATGGCCATTCCCCCTGGGGGGTGATTTCTCTCTTTCTGTCCCTGTGTCTCTCCGGCAAGCACATGCGCCCTATAGCAAAAATCTCTCTCTCTAAAAAAAAAAAAAAAGAAAGCATATTAAGTACTCAAACCATATTGGGTCCACAGAATACCGATCAGCTAACTCTGCTCTAGACATTCCTGAATATCTTGCAGCCATCTCTAACCTTCATTGGAATTCTCTCTGCAGAGCCTGGGACAAGGAAGATGAGGGAGGAAGAGAGGGAGGGAGCCACACTGGCTTGGGAGGGGCTGGGGGTGGGGTGGTGATCATCATGCCCAGCAGCATAGACACTTGGGATTTGGACGGATCCCATACAGATGAACCTGTACAGTTGAACCTGCTCCTGCCTGCACTCCACGCAGCCTGTCCTCCCCCCAGCACCTGTACTTTGCTCCCCCTCCTGGCTCTCCACCTCCCACCACCCCCAGGCGACCAGCGGAAGAGACCCCATCCCATCTGGATGAAAAGCGAACTGTGTGGTGGCCGCGCACACGCTTGGCTATGGTGACTCTGGAGAGGAGCCACTGACTTCTAGCAGGACCGCACTGGTGGGTGACTTCAGGAAGAAAGGGGACAGGAAAAGAAAATGTGAGTTGTATTTGTCCCTCTCCTCTACTTGGACTGTTTACCGTTCACCGTCATTGCCCCCTAACCTCGAATGTCTCCCCGTTTGTAAAGCACTCACATTCACATCATTTAACCTTCCAAACCTGGGACGGAGACATTATCTCCATTTTATAAATGAGGGTACTGAGGCTCCGCATGACCCGGTGACTCAAGATCACAAAGCTGAGTGGCAAAGCCCTGGGCAGCTGACCCTAATTATTTTTTTCTTTTTAAGTTTTTGCCATAGGGCACATGTGCTTGCTGGAGAAAGACAGAGAGGGAAAGTGAGAAGTCACCACCTGAAGGAAGTGGCCACGCCCCAAGCCCTTCTCCTCCATCCTCCTCCTGGCACACGCACTCGGTGTGATTCTCAAGCCTCCAGGTCCAGGACTGACTGTCGTCAGCCATGCGGGATCCAGCACTTAACCACCACACCACCTGCTGGCCCCAGCTGACCTTAATTTTAAGGTTCTTTCCTCTACCCCAGATTGGGGAGAGATGGGGAGAGTCCCTTCATTGGCTTTTGCAGCTCTCCAGGATCTGATGCTGGAAATGTCAAGTACCCTGAGTTCTCTGCCACCTGGGATGGCAGGCTGCTACTTAATTGTAAGTGGGTTGTGGGTTTTGGTTTTTGTTTTTAACAGGAGCATTGCTAGAGGTAATAGTGTTACTTGAATGGGTCTTCTGGGAGGTTGACATGCCCAGGAGAAATTTAGATTTTCCTATGCACTTTGTATGATGGCCAGACAGCCTCCAAGTCTCACCCGAGGGTGATGTAGAGAAGATGAAAAGACAACCAGCCAGTGCACTGTGGCTACGGCAGCTGGATCCCACATGGCCGACTATGTGGTTCGAGAATTGGACCTGGCAGCTTGCAAATCACGCCAGGTGTGTATGTGTGCTTGTCCAAAATACTGAGAGGAGATGGAGGTTCAGGAGTTGCAGCAAGGCCGTTTCCTCTGGAGGGGTGTTTTCTTGCTTTCTCTCTCTCCAGTGAAGCACATATGCTCTATAGCAAATTTTTTAAAAAAAGAAAGAAAAAAGGAAAAAAAAAAGACAAGCTGAAAGGAGACACAGACATTGCCTACATGAGCTAAGAATAATGACCTTAGGTCTTGCGTTGGATCTTAATTCTGCCTTAATTCACGGGCTGTGTGACCTCACACCAGACTTTTCCCTCCAGGCCCTCAGAACAGCTCTCTGGCAACCACGCCAGCTCTCTCCCTGCCTGCTCAGTGCACGGGACCCTCCACTGTCTCCCCAGCCTTCTGGAGTATATGGCTTAGGGGAGGATTGTCACCTTTCAGAGGAAGCATCCCAGAGGCCTCCTGGTTTGGGAATTGAACACCAATTGCCCAGAGGAATTTAACAGACTGCTGTTACCCAACCGTCCAGCCCGGCCTGCACAGAGGTGGCTTTTCATGCCCTTTTCCTCTGTTCGGTTGGCTTGTTTTCCAAACATGGGTCAAACAATCTCTTTCCAGAAGCAGTAGCGGCAGAAGGAAATGTTATTAAAAATGAGTCTGTTAGTGGGCATGGTGTGTGGATGAAGGTTTTTGGGAGTTTTGGCTGCCAAATAAAGACTTTATTGTTGTCTTTCCTCCTTTCCCAAGCTCCGTCCCTCCCTGCTCTCCTCCCTCCCTGTTCTCCTCCCTCCCTCCCTCCCTCCCTCCTCCCCTCGTCCCTAAGATCTGCCCCTCCCTCCCCCTAACCTAACCTCCCCACCCCAATAGGATCTGGTGGAAGAAAAGTCAGACAAACGCAGGCACGCGCACAGTGGGAGAGCAGGACTGCCTGCTGGCGCTGTGCTCTCAGTCCCACTGAAGGGTGGAGGAGGAAGGAGGGACCCTTCCTGGGACGGAACCCTGAGCTGAGAGGAGAGGCAGGTGCGGCAGGTAAGCCCCGTCTTTGGGACACTCTGGAAGCTCCCTTCCTCCAGTCAGTTTCCTCCTGCTCCAATGGGTCAACCTTTGTCTCCTCGCTCCTTCCTTCCACCTTCGCACTTCTCAGATGAGCTGACTTGAGTCTTGCTTGTTTCTCTGGTGTAGGCCCCCCTTCCCCCGCCCCCGCCGTTTAATACCCTTATATCTGCTTGCTGCCAAAGCTAAACTTTCTTGGTGCAGATGTTTCTATAGCACGGAGAGCTGGGCTGCACAGTTGCTGCAGATCAGGTGTTTCCATAGAAACTGGACTCTAGAACTCATTCTTTTGCACCTTTCATATACTGTCATGCATTGCTGAAGACACACACACAAACGCACATCTTGCAGCTCTTCCACTCCCCGCCCCCATACAAGCTGAAGACGTGCTGTCCCTTCCCCGCCACTCTCTGGCCGCATCTGATGCAGAACAAGAGCACACAGTGACCAGACACACGTGAGCACGCACACACACACACACACACACACACACACACACACACACGCTCTGCATCTGGCCTCTCAGCCGCCTCCCCAGCTGTAAGGGAAAAGAGAAAGTGCGCCTTCCCGCTGAGATGGTGGAGCCAGAAGACAATCATGTGTCCTGGGTCTAGGCCGAGCAGGGAGGGCACTGGCCAGAGCAGGCCTTGGAAGGGTTTCTTTGTTCTTAGAGCTTAACTGGGTAGGAGGGAGGGGAAAGTGACTTTCCAACCTGCCCCATATCTTCCCAGCAACTCTGATTTCTCTGTCCCACTGGTCCAAACCACTCGGCTTTTGGAAAGAGAGAGAACAAAGCCAGCTACCTTTCAAGCCTTGGAAGTCCCATCCAGATCTGGGGACAGTCACTTTTTTTTCTGCAGACAATCAAAACAATTTCTTGTTCAAGTCATTGTAAAATTATCACAACCATTTAGGTTGGCAAGGAGTCCTTGTGGCAGAGGAAGGAAAAAAAGACTCCTTAAGCAGTCAGGGAGGGAAAACTAAAGGGTGGCCCCTCTCCATCTCCCCAACTCCCCAACTCTCCCCTCTCCAATAGCAGAGAGGGTCTGTCCCAAGGCTGGCAGGTGGGGTTGGATCCGGGGCCTAGACACCACTGATCCTCTAAGTCAGCCGAGGGCAGGGAGATGGGAGTGTGGATGGCTTACCGAAAACACAGGCTTCTGGATTTCCTGAATCAAGACCCAGGAACCTGTTGTTTCCCTATTTGGGGGAGGCGTATGGTCAGCCAGGGCTTCCGACCCCGAGTCGGGGGACTGAGAGCAACTTCTGCTATAATCCACAGGCCCAGGACTCCCGGCAGTGTGAGCTGCGGAAGCGCTGTGTAGTTGCCTGGGAAATGAACCCAGTGCCGCAGGCAGGCTGTCGCTTCTTTGGGGAGTGGGAGTGAGCACCTAAGGGAAGGCCCTGGGGCTGACCTCCTTCCTCCCCCTCGAAAGCACAGGCAGCCATATCATGGAGGGTCATTCCAGAAAGTTCCTTCAAGTTATCTCCAAAGAGCATACGTCTTCCATCACCCTAATCTGCCTGCCCCAGACCTCGAGGAGGACAGTGACGGCCCCTTGCCTGTCCTGGATCCTCTCCTCCTGCCCCACAGCTCTTTGTTCTGACAGGCTCTCACACAGAACAGTAATTAGGAATTCACTTCTCCTTCACCTCCCTGGTGGGCAGCCCCATTTTGCAGGCCCGTGGGTGAAGCACTTTAAGGCCAGAAGGGGCAGAAAAACCAGGGGCAGCTGCAGAGATACGCTCGTGGTGGGAACACGTTCCGTGATGCTGAGGCCACGTGAGGTCCCAGGTTTGCATCCTGAGGTCTCCCTGGGCATGTCAGACATGCATGTGCATGCCCATCATCCTGGCTGGCTGAGGCTGGGGGGAGATTGGGGCACGAAGACCCTATTGGGTGCTCTGTCTGGCCGGCTGGCTGTCTCATGGGACCAATAACTACACCTAAAAAACAAGAAAAGAAGCCAGTATGAAGAATTGAGAGAAGTGATGGCTCACAGTGGGCTATGGCCAGGTGAGGAAGGGAAGACTCAGCCTCCTCTGGTCAGCACCCCTCACATGCTGCTGAAAGCCCTGGGGTGCCATGAGTGAACTAAGACAGAGCTTTCTCTAGGTAGTGGGGACTTCTAGGACCTCTCTAATTGATTCTGAGACCCAAGTGTGGCTTCATGAGCTACAAAGGGAAGGAAGTTGCCCTCCATGGAAGAGCCAGCCTCCAAATGTAGGGATCCCTGCCTTCAGGTAGGCAGGGCCATCCTCGAAGCAGGCCGAGGGGAAGGAGACTCCATTACCCCGACGTAATAGCAACAGCCCCTGCCACTCACCGAGCACCTGTTTTACACACAAGAGCTCATTTAACACCCAAAACAGCCTGCTGAGAAGGCAGGGCTGTGCCCATTTTAGAGAAGAGGAAACTGAGGCCTTGCCCAAGGGAATGCAGCTAAGCGGCTGAAGAGTTACAGAGTGGGGACCCAGATCTCTGACCACTCAAGGCACCAGACAGGCTTTTCTGGGCGTACTTCAGGGGTTAGAGGTGCCAGGGGAGGGAGGTGGAGAAGATGTGGCAGGCAGAGGGCCGTCAGAGAAGCAGAAGTGGGCGCCCTTGTCTCTTCCCGACCCCTCAGGATGGGCTGCGGGCCTGAAGCCAGAAGAACTTCATTCTGTTTACACTTCGCCTGGTGGCAGACACTGGGAGGCAGATGGTTTCTCCACAATAGTGTCATAGTTATTTTTAGCTGCGGCACATTTTAAAGTCTCTTATCACACTTGCTCTTGACAACAGCTGGGGGAGGACTATGGGGATAAGGAGGATGTTCTTATTTCTATTTCACAGATAAGGAAACTGAGGCTCGGAACAGGGCACCACCGCTAGGTAGTGATGGGAGGGTGGAGGACTCACGTGCCTGGGGTGTTCTCCCTGCGCTGTCCCAGGCAGGCCCGTCCTCATCCTGCTTTACCCCCAGGGCCGGGTACATGGAGGGTGTGTTGACTTTGTTGTGTCTGTTACCCAAGACCCACACCAGCCCTAGCAGGAACCCTGAAAAGGCACCCTGGTGGCCTGGGTTGGTTCAGCTCGCCCCTCTAGTAGACGGACAGAGACCACTCAATTCTCCAAGCCCCAGGCTCCCTCTGGAGCACAGGCAGAGGTAAACGGAGGTAGAGGGCGCTCAGAAGTCTGTTTCCAGCAGAGAAGGGAAGGACGAGAGCCCTTCCATGCTCATGGGCTCTGGGCTGGGGCAACCCCATTCTCCTGGCAGGGTAGCTCTCCGGGGCAGGCCAGGAGGCTTCAGGGTGACCAACCAGATAGGCAATCTGGAAAGAGAGAAGAATGCCAGCGGATGGTACAGAGTGACTCTGGTGCTAACCCTGCCCAGTCCTGGGAGACATCCAACCTCACCTGCAGCCCAAACCTGACCTCTCCAGACAAGTTAATGACCCTTAAACCTGCTCTGACAGCCCATCTGGGCCTCAACCCAGCTCTGCCCTGCAGCAGAACACTGCACCCGTCCTAGGCTCTTACTGTGAATGAATAAATTAATGAATTCAGAAAAGGCTCTCTAGAGAACCTGCTCTTCATAAATGCATATGCTAGTCCATGCGGTCTCTGCCTGAGGAAGTGCTGGGCTCGGAACACACCTCCTCCGGGTACATGAGCTCATTTGATCCTCACACTGATGAGGAGCCCAGGTCCGGGGCACAGAGTTGGAGCCAGCATGCAAGCCCAGATCTACAAGAGCTGGAACTGAAATTGGGGTTGAAGACTCCCTTAGGGAATCTTCTTAAACATAGAGTAAATTCTGGGCTGGGCAATGCAGCAGAACAGGTGGCAAGGCACTGGCTGTGGTGGGTGTCCGATAAGCGTGTATCCATCCAGCGACACACACGCCCAGCGGAAGCAGGGCTGGGAAACGTGCCTGCAACGGCAGCGGAGAGTAGTCATTGATTTACTTATTATTTTCTTATTTGTCTTAACTTGCTATAGGGTGCGTGTGCTCACCAGAGAGACAGAAAGAGGATAAGTGAGAAATCATTCTCTAGGAGGATGGCCACACTGTAATCCCTTCTCCATTCTCCTCTCAGGGTTTTGGGCACACACATATGTGCCTGGCACATTTTCCAAGCCACTGGGTCTGAGTCTCAAACTGTGCAGTTGGCCGTGTGGGATCCAGCCACCTCGATTGCCACACCACCAGCTGGCCCGCCATCAGAGAGTGTAAACACACACACACACACACACACACACACACACACACACACACACAGACTCACCCACCCTAAGGGTGCTTACGATAAGACAGAAGGTTCTAGAAGGCAGGAGCATTCGCAGTATAGCTCTGGAGTTTGTAGGAAGGGCTATGACCCCCCTCTCCCCGGGAGTCTGTGGCATGGGTTCTGGCTTCAGAGACCTGGGCCATCATAGAGCATGGCCGGGGTGAACATCAGGGCCTTGGAACTTCCCTGCAGGGCGGCAGCCCCAGCAGGAAGGGGCATTGCCTGGAGAAAAACCTTAGGAATAAGCGCTATTCTTCGCTATTGGGAAGAGAGAAGCTCTCCTGCACACAGACCCATTAAGATTCAGCCTTGGGGCTGAGAGAGGGGGAATAGGAGGAGCCAAGTTCCCCCAGGGAACACGCTCCAGGGAGCATTTCCTGGGGAACCTCCAGTGGGCTCTGGGAGAGACTGCTACCCTAGAGCTCCGGAATGTAAAAGGGTCAAAAGGCCTGGTGGGAAGATATGACAAGCTCCTGCGGGGTCCGCACTGGGCGGAGATGGCCTGGAATGAGGCCTGCGTTCGATGAGAAGGAACTGGTGGGCAGCTGCCCGGAAGAGCTGCGACTGCCCTGCCCACTCCTGTCACCCGGCCGTGAGACCAGGGCTGCCCAGGTGTCCCAGACCCAGCAGACTCTGGCTGCACCACACAGAGCAGGCTTTGGCGGGAGGCTCTGGGCAAGCTTTACTTGTTTAATGGGGTGTCCAGTACCTGGTACAACAGCCCCCTTTATCCACTGGCGAGACCTTCCAATACCCACAGTAGCTGCCTGACGCCACAGGTGGTACCGAAGCCCATATATACACTGTGTTTTCCCATACACACAAACCTATGATACATTTGATTTATAAATTAGGCACCGTGCAAAACTGGCGGTGGCTAAACGATGATAACAATACTGGGTAATAAAAGTGACATGGGCGTGGTCTTGTTCTCTCGCAAGATGTTGGGCAGTTGACAGGGGATGACTGAAACGGAAGGACGCAAAGCCCGGATGAGGGGCTGCACATGTTCAGGGTGACAAAGGCACCGAGGAAAAGGGAAACTCCAGCCAGGGCCAGGAGCCAGCCCGGGGCAGGACTTCTCACAGCAGGAGAGATTTCCTGCTTATTTCCAGGCTTCTGGGTGGTTAGAAAACAAAGAAATGCAAGAAGAAAATAAAGAAGGGTCACAAAAATTGAGGCTTTTAAAAATGTTTGTTTTTAGAATCCTAATGCTTTAACCACCCCTTTAATTTATAGGTGACATGACTCCTATTTTCAGGAAAATTACAGGATTTATAAACATTAACCCATAGTTCCCTAGTTATGGGATGTCAGTCCAGCAACGAGACTGAGTTAGTTTTACAGTGATGGTTTTCTCTCCTTTCAGTCCTTTCAGGGTGTCCCTGAGGCTGTCCTCAATCTAACTGGGAGGTCCTTCCGGATAGGAGGCTGGAGGGCAAAGGCCTTCTGGACCCCCTGGAGAGGCCTGCCTGGGAAGGAGCTTAGCGGAGGTGCAGGAGCAATGAGGCTTCAGGTGTGCCTGTCCCTCCCTTCCTCCCCATCCTTGGAGTACTGCGCAAGTGCGAGGGCTCACTCAAGCACAGAGTGACGGAGGAAGGAGGGCTTGCTTATGTGGATGGGCAGTGTGGTGTGAAAATGTGCCTCTGGGGGCACCAGCAGATAGCGTAAGGGTCACATCACTGGATTCCCACATGGCTGACCGCAGTTCGAGTCCTGGACTCAGCAGCTTGAAACTCACACTGGGCATGTGTGTGTGTGCATGGCCAAAATCCTGAGAGGAGGATGGAGGAGAGGGAATTGCAGTGTGACTACCCCTCCCAGGGGCCAGTGATTTCTCAATTTCTCTCTCCCTCTGGTGAGCACGTGTGCCCTATAGCAAAAATCTCTCTAAAAAAAAAAAAAAAAAGAAAGAAAGAAAGAAAGGAAGGAAGGAAGAAAAGAAAGTGTGCAGTTGAGGTCAAGTGTGTGTGTGTGTGTGTGTGTGTACGTCTGACCCATACATGCTGGGCTCTGAGCTCTGTTCTCCTTCCATTTTTGTTTTTGTTTTTGTTTTTTTTGTCACATTCAGCTCCCTTGGCCCAGGACCCAGCAGCTAGTGACAGGCTTCTTTATCTCCCTTTGGTTGAAGCCAGCAAGAGGCCGATGCTGGGTCCAGCAAGGGAAGAGTCTAAGCTGACCTGGGTGCAAAGGGAAGGTGGGAAAAGAGGGGCCAGGAGCAAGCCAGGGACACACTGCGGCCACTCCATCTTGGAGAAACCCAAGAGGCCTGCATCCCCAGTGTATCCCAGACCCCAGGGTAGGGGATGGGTGCCACCACAAATGAGGGGGAGAGGCAAGGTGAGCAGGTGACCCCAGTTGGAAACCTGGGGGCTGTCACAGGGATGATAGCCTAAGGAGGGGAAGGCACTTACTGGACACTCCCTCCCTGGACCCCCAGCCCAGGCCAGGGGAGGAAGCCTGTGAGGGCTGCCCCATTGGCAGCCCTGGGTCTACTGCTCTTTCCCCAGTTTCAGTTCACCTCAAACCACAGGGCCCTGAGGGGTCGTCAGAGGCATTGGGAAGGGCAGCCCCAAATCCTTCAGCTCCCTATGCCAGTGTCACTGAGGTTGGCAGGAGGTGCTCAATGGCCGGCCTCAGTACCACTGAGTCCAAAGATGGGGAGAGCACTCCCAGGCCAGGGGAAGGAAAGGGTTCTCTCCACGGCGTTCTCTCTCTTCCTTGTTTATTTTCCCAGGAGCCTCCACATCTGGGGAGAAATTCTTGGCATGTCTCCTGCTGGCAAAAACCAGTGTCCTCCAAGCCAAGTGCAGGGGCGAGGACAAGGGAGGTGGAGAGCATCCGAGCAGGGGTGGAGGCGACGGGGCCTGTCTGCCGCATGCTTCCCCCCGCATCCCGTACCCACCCCCCCAATCTCCACAGCTCTGAGCTCTGTGCAGGAAAGCAGAGACCTGGGGTTTGTCCTGGGTCTGCTGTGAATTGCTTCCTGGCCTTGGCGAGCCAGTTCTGCCCTATGGTCCTCCGTTTCTATAAACAGTGAGGTCTGCATTTGATGGGTGCGTTTCAAGCCATTTTTAGCAATGAAACTGTTTTACTAAATGAATGCTTTGGCTAGCCCTCAATATATGTAACAGGTCAAAAATACACACACACACACACACACACAGCTGCTCAGGGTGGCACAGGAATGGGTTGGGGGGTGCCCCAGAGCCATCTCTTCATCCTCCCCACCTTGAGAGGCCCCATAGAAAGGGAGGCACAGTTTGAAAACCACCACCCTGTGGGATCTCTAGGCACCCCTGCAGATTTAATACCCCAAGGCTCTATAGTTCACAAGCTTTAAAGTCCCTCTGGTAAAGACAGGGATGATCAGGGTACAAATGGGGAGACCGAGGCCAGAGAGGTGCAGGGTCTTCTGTAACAGCCCCACGTGCCCCCTCCCTGGAGGGCTCTCCCTCCCTGAGCAGGCTTAACACACAGAGTGGCTCAGCCTCAGGTCACCCCCGGCCCTCTGGGTAGAGGCGAACAAGGGGGTACTCCGCGCCAGCCCCCAGGACTCCAGCTGCGAAGGGTGTGAAGGCTGTAAAGGCTGGCATCTAGTTAGGAGGCCGGCAGGCTAATGACCTCCTGTATCTCCTCCCTGCAGGTGTGTCACCCGGATCATGAGGTCATCCCTCTGCTGGCTCCTCCCACTTCTCCTCATCTTGGCCTCAGTGGCTCAAGGCCAGCCAACAAGACGACCAAGACCTGGGACCAGGCCCAGGCCCAGGCCCAGGCCCAGACCCACACCTGGCTTTCCTCGGCCCGGTGAGCCAGTGGAGCCGACGGACCTGCCTCCTCCTCTCCCACCGGGCCCTCCATCAATCTTCCCTGACTGCCCCCGGGAATGCTACTGCCCCCCGGATTTCCCCTCTGCCCTCTACTGTGACAGCCGCAACCTGCGCAAAGTGCCCGTCATCCCCTCCCGCATCCATTACCTCTATCTCCAGAACAACTTCATCACTGACCTCCCCGTGGAGTCCTTCGAGAACGCCACGGGCCTGAGGTGGGTCAACCTAGACAACAACCGGATCCGCAGGGTGGACCGGAGGGTGCTGGAGAAGCTCCCCAGCCTGGTGTTCCTGTACATGGAGAAGAACCAGTTGGAGGAGGTCCCCGCGGCCCTGCCCCGGAACCTGGAGCAGCTGCGGCTCAGCCAGAATCAGATCTCCCGGATCCCGCCCGGCGTCTTCAGCAAGCTGGAGAACCTGCTGCTCCTGGACCTGCAGCACAACAAGCTGAGCGATGGCGTCTTCAAGCCCGACACCTTCCAGGGCCTCAAGAACCTCATGCAGCTCAACCTGGCCCACAACATCCTGCGCAAGATGCCACCCAAGGTGCCCCCGGCCATCCACCAGCTCTACCTGGACAGCAACAGGATCGAGACCATCCCCAACGGGTACTTCAAGGGCTTCCCCAACCTGGCCTTCATTCGGCTGAACTACAACAAGCTGTCGGACAGGGGCCTCCCCAAGAACTCCTTCAACATCTCCAACCTGCTGGTGCTCCACCTGTCGCACAACAAGATCAGCAACGTGCCTGCCATCAACAACAGGCTGGAGCACCTGTACCTCAACAACAACAGCATCGAGAGTGAGTGGGGGTGGGGGCAGGCCGCAGGGAGGGAGGGCGGGACCCTCATACCTCCATCCGCCCTTTCTCAGGGCCCTCAGGCTGGGGTGGTGCAGAAGCATCCACTTTGGTCCCGAGCATCACGTTTTGGCCTTACCTCTGGCTCGCTCTGTGACCTTGAGAAGACACCTGCCCTCTGGGAAGCATCCTCAGTGGTAGAGTGAGACTAGGAGCATTGCCTTATACTGCGAAGTTGATCTGAAGATCGAATTGTTTATATGGACAAAGGGCCTCAGCACTGTGCTTGGAGGGCAGCAGGTTTTCCTCCTCCATCCCTTCTCGTCAGCCCCAGCTCCTTTGGCCTCTGGAGCTGTCGGTTGGGTAGACACAGAAGCTTGTGGACGTTCTCATAAAGCAGAACACACGTAAATGCCCACCCGGAAATGTTCTGGGTCTGCCTACCAAAAAAGCAAGCAGCTGGGGAAGTAAGTTCCTTCCCAAATCCGAGCCCAGGTCTTGAGGAGTCCAGAAAAGGCACGCAGAGGGCAGCTTTGTACTCATGCAACTGGTAAAAACGTGGGGAACAGGAAAAGCAAACTGTCTATATGGTAGTGCTTTCTGAATCTGTCTGGGAGGTTGCACTGGTTAGCTGTATGAGGCAGTGCATTTAAGAGTTTGCCAGGGTCAGCAGGTGGTGTGGTAGTTAAGGACCTGAACTCCCACATGGCTGACCACAGTTTGAGTCCTGTACCCAGTGGCTTTAGAATCATGTTGGGGGCCTGTGTGCCCCAAACACCAAGAGGAGAATGGAGAAGGAACTGCCGTGTGGCCATTTCCCTCAGGGAAGTGATTTCTTACTTTCCCTCGCTAACTCTGGTGAGTGCACATGCCCTATGGCAAACACACACACACACACACACACACACACACACACACACACAGAAGAAGAAGGGGAAGAATAAGAAGGAAAAAGAAAAAGAAAGAGGAAAAGGAAAAGGACAGGAAAGAAGAAAAGAAAGAGCTTGCCTAAGCCAGATTGGGGTATCAGCTGCAAGAGAGCAGATGGACAGTCACGGTTTTGCTTCGATCAAAACCATCAGCTTTGAGCACAGCATCTGCAGAAAGGGTTAGAAACAAGAGAAAAGGTATTATCAGGCCTTGAACAAAATCAGGCTACATTCATGCAAGAAATTAGCAGCCGAAGGGATGAACAGGATCAAAGGGGAAAAGAACCCCTACACAATATTAGGGGATCCTTAGTTTCTAAGTTCATAAATGAAAGGGAGATTGCTAAATGCTCTACAGTCCTGAAACAAATGAATGGGGGGACAAGCCTGTTCATTCATCTGGTATAAGGATTAGAAGGGGGGAGGGAATGTAAAAATCTTACAAAAAGCACATTCAGGAAAGGAAAAAACTGTAACTTTACCCTACAGGTAGCACATTAAAATAGAACATATTACCCCCAGGAAGCCGTGTAGGCTGAAAATACAGACAAAAAGGATACCACAGTTAAGAAATGGCTGACAAGGGCCAGCAGGTGGCATGGAGGTTAAGGCAGCCGAATCCCACATGGCCAGCTGCATGGTTCAAGTCTCAGACCCGGTGGCTGGAAAAACACATGGGCGCATGTGTGTGTGCCCAAAATCCTGAGAGGAGAAGGAGCATAAGGGGGTCAGCGTGGCCATCTCCCTGGAGGTGTTTTCGCACGTTCCCTCTTCCTGTCTCTCTGATGAGTGCATGCACTGAGAAAAACTAAACGAAAGACACGGCTCACACGTCTCTACCGGATTGTGAAAGAACAGGTTCCGGGGGCTAGCCCAGCCTTCGGAGGTTGCAGCCCAGAGGCCTGTGCCCACCTCACCAGCCAGTCTCCTGTGTCACTGACCGAGCAGCTGAGTGCGACCTGCACTGGTGTGGAGACCATGTTCTTAGCGATGACCATATGCCACCACCTGCACCACCCTCTGCAGTCTGCAACTTCGACATCCTCTCAGTGGGGTAGGGCAGGAGCCACCCTCACGTCCCCCAAACTGGGGGGCGGAGCACGGAGGGCCGAAGCAACAACCCATGATCATGAGGGCCATAAGGCAAAGTCCACCCAGGCCCAGCCTCTTGCTGCTTCTCCAGCGGGAGGAAGAAGACGATGGCCTGCCCTTCTACCTCCTCCTCCCTCTCCTTCTCCTTTGAGGATGAAGCAGGCCAGGCTGAAGGAGAATTAAATAATTCACTTACAATAGTGCACGCCTGATGTCATCTATCAAGAGGTAAGGGAGAACATGGAGTTTCAGGTCATGGACACTTCAGAATCAAGAGGCTCCAGTCTCCTCTTGGGATTTCGGCCACGCACACACACGCGCCTGGCATGAGTTTTAAGCCTCAGGGTCCAGCACTCGAACCATGGTCGTCTACATAGAAGTCCAGTGACATAACCATTATGCCATCTGCTGGTTGAATCGAGAGGCTCCTCATGTCCCTGGGGACCCTGAGTCTTCCTCAGACCCCCCTTCCTCTGCCTGTCACCCCTATATTGGTCAGCACACCATCTTCCATCCCTCTTGTGCCTCCCGTCCAATTCACAGGGAAACTTCCAGAGTAATGCTCGAACCCTGCTGCCATCATGCCTGCCTCCCTCCACAGCTTCTCCACACTGTAGCTAGACTCGTCTTTACACAGCATAAGCCTGGTGTTGGGATCCCTGAGGTCCTCCTAGACTTAGCAGGAGGCTAGGGTTCGTATACCTCAACAACGAGCTTATAAATACAGTCCTGCTCAATACCATCCCTCAGGCCAGAGACCAAGACCAAAGCCCTAGTCCGTAGCAAACTATTTGAAAGCCTATGACAAACCAGCCACAACCTACCTTCTCAAATTGCTCTCCTTAGGACACAGTGTGCCCTTACTACTCCCAGATCCTGCAGTGAGCAGGACTGTGGCCTGCACAGCTCCACTCAAAGAGGCCCATGTATCTGAACGGCATCCCCGGTCTCTACCTGCTGTCAGCCTACCTATCCCTGAAGGTCCAGTGCTGAGTCTCCTTCCAGTTCCCTAAGGCGAAATCGCAACAGCGCTTGTTGATCAATTCCAAACCGATGCACTTTACAAATGAGTAAACTGAGCCTGGGGTGAGGGAAAGCCTCTGTCACATACTCCCCAAGCCAGCCAGTTCCAGAAAGGACTCCAGAGACCTCGCACTTGGCTGTCCTCTCCCTTCCCTCCCTCCTCTCGGCCTCCTGACCCTGCTCGCATGCTCACTTCTCCCCTTCTTTCTCCATAGAAATCAACGGGACCCAGATCTGCCCCAACAACCTGGTCACCTTCCACGACTTCTCCTCGGACCTGGAGAACGTGCCGCACCTGCGCTACCTGCGGCTGGACGGCAACTACCTGAAGCCGCCCATCCCGCTGGACCTCATGATGTGCTTCCGCCTCCTGCAGTCCGTGGTCATCTAGGCCTCACGGTGGTGCTGGGTCTGCTCTGACCGCACCTGCAGGCTGGCGGCCCAGTGCCCGTGCCCACTCTCCGTTCTCTCTGTCCCCCTTTCTCGCTCCCAGCTTTGCCTCTCTTAGCCCACCTCTCTGAGGCAGGAAGAAGCCAGATAGTCTGCCTTTTACTCTGAGCGAGACTCCCAGGGCCTGGACCCGGTCCCACCCAGTTCACGGATGCCCACTGCACACCTGAACTGCTGGCCTCTGTGGACTCCCTGTGCTCTAAACACAGGTACTTATCTAGGGACACCAGGTCCCGCCCTCCCCTCCTCTGCCTGCACTCCTGGGTAAGTCTGGGCCACAGACTGACGTCTGGCCTAGGTCTGGGCCAAGCAGGAGGAAGATGGTCAGGGGCAGCCCAAGGGGAAGGTCGGAAAGTCCCGCTGGAAGTACACCCATTTTGGGCAACTCTGACTCAAAGAGGCTGAGAAACCTGGGTCTCCTTGGCCAAGGATCCCTCTTCCAAAACTGCAGCTCCAGGCCCTATTTCCTGGCACCAGACATCCTGTTCCCTGCTGGCCTGTGTTCTCCAAGAAAAAAGAGAGAGGGGATGACTGAACAGGGTGGGGTACAGGGTCAGGGCTCCAGCCAAGGCCTGCCTCTGGCCATCCCTTCACGGGGACAAGAGGTGCCCCTCCTCCATCCCCTCCTGTAAATGGTGAACACAGCACACGCCCTCAGGAGTGGACCTCAGAGAGGGACAGCCAAGAACATTCAGGGACCTCAGAATCAGCTGGTGAGAGAGGAGGGGGAGTCAGAGCCTTGGGATGGGCCCACGTGGGTGTCGATGGGTCCTGCAGCCCCATTGCAAAACCTGGACAGGAAGCCTGAGGCCCTGGGGGAACATACTGTTCCCATCTGTTCCCTATCAGTGTGGAAGACCCGGTTATTTCCACCACCACCACCTCCACCCCCCTGGGAGTGGGAGGAGTCCTGAGAAACTGGGAAGAGGGGCGGAGCAACCCAAATCTCCCAGAAGCCTCTTCCACATTTGCAAATTGGCCTCTGCCTCTTAGAGAGACACATCAGCGACATCTGGTGGCTGGTGGAGGTCACAGCTGGCTCCAGGCTCCCTCCTTGCCCTTTCCCTGGGGGTGATTTTCAAGGTGAAAGAGTTGTCCTTGGGTTCCAACTTGGAAGAGTCATGGACTGTGTGCATGGGGTCTCTCCCCTCTGGGGTTTGGTAGGTACAAAGGTCCAGAGGCCAGGGCTCAGTCCCATGTGGCATGGACCCCAGATGAGGATGGCTTGCTCTGGTTTACTGGACAGCTTTGTTGGGTGCCTTCTGCTCAGAGAGTGGATAAGATGCTCCCACAAAGTCCCCCCGGCGCTCATGTGTCCCAAGGCTATGGCTCCACACCAGCTCATACAAGTCCTGAACACCGTTCCTTGGTTTGCAGTAATTTATTCCTTGTATGGACAGTCCCTCCCCAAGTCCCTCTTCAAGTCCCTCCCTGCCTGGCCCAGGTGAGTGGCAGGGCAGGTCCCCAAGTAAACCTGGCTCTCACCTGGCTGCCACACCTTCCTCTTATCTCCAGCTTCTCCTAGGGGATGCTGCCTGCCCCAACCCTGAGTGCGTGTGTTGGTAGGGAGAATGGGCAGAATGTTCTAGAAATGAGTATGACACCATGAGTGCCCACCCTCAAGGTAAAATGAGGAAAGTTCCAGAGGTTTTTAGGAAGTTGCATTAATCATGGGGCCAGTAGATGGCATGCTGGTTAAGATTCTGGACTCCCACATGGTTGACTACAGTTCGAGTCTCAGAGCCAGCAGCTTGAAAAATACCAGGCACATATGTGTGCATGTCCAAAATTCCGAGAAGAGAATGGAGGAGAAGGGATTGAGGTGTGGCCATGCCCCCTGGGGGTGATTTCTGATTTTCCCTCTCTGTCTCTCTCCTGTAAGTAAAAACCTAAAACAAACAAACAAACAAAAACCACACACACCACCCACGCACACACACACACACACACAAACCCTATGACAAAAAAAAAAAGTTGGATTAACCTGGGCCCCCAATTTCAAGAAATCTCCATTTCTCCTTCTCACCTTCCTCTTTTTCCAATGATGGAAAATCGATTTTACTCTGAGCGAGACTCCCAGGGCCTGGACCCGGTCCCACCCAGTTCACGGATGCCCACTGCACACCTGAACTGCTGGCCTCTGTGGACTCCCTGTGCTCTAAACACAGGTACTTATCTAGGGACACCAGGTCCCGCCCTCCCCTCCTCTGCCTGCACTCCTGGGTAAGTCTGGGCCACAGACTGACGTCTGGCCTAGGTCTGGGCCAAGCAGGAGGAAGATGGTCAGGGGCAGCCCAAGGGGAAGGTCGGAAAGTCCCGCTGGAAGTACACCCATTTTGGGCAACTCTGACTCAAAGAGGCTGAGAAACCTGGGTCTCCTTGGCCAAGGATCCCTCTTCCAAAACTGCAGCTCCAGGCCCTATTTCCTGGCACCAGACATCCTGTTCCCTGCTGGCCTGTGTTCTCCAAGAAAAAAGAGAGAGGGGATGACTGAACAGGGTGGGGTACAGGGTCAGGGCTCCAGCCAAGGCCTGCCTCTGGCCATCCCTTCACGGGGACAAGAGGTGCCCCTCCTCCATCCCCTCCTGTAAATGGTGAACACAGCACACGCCCTCAGGAGTGGACCTCAGAGAGGGACAGCCAAGAACATTCAGGGACCTCAGAATCAGCTGGTGAGAGAGGAGGGGGAGTCAGAGCCTTGGGATGGGCCCACGTGGGTGTCGATGGGTCCTGCAGCCCCATTGCAAAACCTGGACAGGAAGCCTGAGGCCCTGGGGGAACATACTGTTCCCATCTGTTCCCTATCAGTGTGGAAGACCCGGTTATTTCCACCACCACCACCTCCACCCCCCTGGGAGTGGGAGGAGTCCTGAGAAACTGGGAAGAGGGGCGGAGCAACCCAAATCTCCCAGAAGCCTCTTCCACATTTGCAAATTGGCCTCTGCCTCTTAGAGAGACACATCAGCGACATCTGGTGGCTGGTGGAGGTCACAGCTGGCTCCAGGCTCCCTCCTTGCCCTTTCCCTGGGGGTGATTTTCAAGGTGAAAGAGTTGTCCTTGGGTTCCAACTTGGAAGAGTCATGGACTGTGTGCATGGGGTCTCTCCCCTCTGGGGTTTGGTAGGTACAAAGGTCCAGAGGCCAGGGCTCAGTCCCATGTGGCATGGACCCCAGATGAGGATGGCTTGCTCTGGTTTACTGGACAGCTTTGTTGGGTGCCTTCTGCTCAGAGAGTGGATAAGATGCTCCCACAAAGTCCCCCCGGCGCTCATGTGTCCCAAGGCTATGGCTCCACACCAGCTCATACAAGTCCTGAACACCGTTCCTTGGTTTGCAGTAATTTATTCCTTGTATGGACAGTCCCTCCCCAAGTCCCTCTTCAAGTACCTCCCTGCCTTATCTCCAGCTTCTCCTAGGGGATGCTGCCTGCCCCAACCCTGAGTGCGTGTGTTGGTAGGGAGAATGGGCAGAATGTTCTAGAAATGAGTATGACACCATGAGTGCCCACCCTCAAGGTAAAATGAGGAAAGTTCCAGAGGTTTTTAGGAAGTTGCATTAATCATGGGGCCAGTAGATGGCATGCTGGTTAAGATTCTGGACTCCCACATGGTTGACTACAGTTCGAGTCTCAGAGCCAGCAGCTTGAAAAATACCAGGCACATATGTGTGCATGTCCAAAATTCCGAGAAGAGAATGGAGGAGAAGGGATTGAGGTGTGGCCATGCCCCCTGGGGGTGATTTCTGATTTTCCCTCTCTGTCTCTCTCCTGTAAGTAAAAACCTAAAACAAACAAACAAACAAAAACCACACACACACACACACACACACACACACACACACACACAAACCCTATGACAAAAAAAAAAAGTTGGATTAACCTGGGCCCCCAATTTCAAGAAATCTCCATTTCTCCTTCTCACCTTCCTCTTTTTCCAATGATGGAAAATCGAGGCCATTTCATCATGGCTCCCTGCCCTGTGCTCGGGACAACTGCCTCATTCTTCCTCTGCAGCTGGTTTCTCCAAGGCTCCTGCTTAAAGTCAACCTGTTATCATGGCTTAAGCAACCTGGTGCTATGGCCTGGATAAGCCCCTTCAGCACCTTATCACACCCACAACCTCAGCCCCTGCCGTGAGGCCCTCAGGGAGCACTGCTCCTGGGACTCCCTAGCCGAGGGGCATTCCTCGGACCCTGCAACCCTGAAGGATTTTGTTTCAGCAGTAACACAGTCACTGTCATCCCATTGCCCCGCCTGGAATGTATCTGCTCCTCCATGGCTCCCTGTAGCTAACTCTAAACCAGGGGGGTTAGAGTTCAATCAGCTTTACAGGAATCCCCCTGCCCTAGTCCTCCGGCCCCCCCTTACACACACACACACACACACACGCACGTGCAAGCGCACTGTGCTGGTTTCCCTTGGGTAGGAGGGTCCCCTCCTCCATGTGCAAGTGCGTTCCGTCTGAGCTGTTGGCATCTACACATACAGGTGTGTAAGAAAGTGGTGTGTGCTCCACATATATCTATTCTCTCTTGAAGACCATGTTACCTTTGTGAACACAACTTTCAACATGCTTCATAGCGAGGAAATAAAGTGATATGAAAAGCGCTCTGCGTGAACTGGACCATGTGACTAGGTCAAGCATAGCTCCTTGAAGTCATCTTGCCACCCACTCTGCCCCCTTATTTATTGAGAGGGTGGATGGAGAAAGATCCTATTAAGAAATTCCTAGGAAAACTATCCCAAAGCCTTTTCTTGGAGAATTTCCCACAAACCTATACTCCTCGTGAAAAATTATTTCTAAAGCTAAACCAGAAATCTACAGCCACATTTGGAGCTCAAAGTCCTGCTTTCTTTCTTTTTTACTTTTTCTCAGGGGGGAGGGGAGTGTGGAGGACACAGCATGCACACACTTTTCAAGACACTGGGTCTGGGCTCTTTCTTTTTTTTAGAGAGAGATTTTTGCTAGAGGTTGTGTGTGCTCACCCGAGAGACAGAGAGACAAAAAGAGAGAAATCACCGCTCAGGGGGGATGGCCATGCTGCAATACCTTCTCCTCCATTCTCCTCTCAAGATTTTGGGCATGTATGCACATGCACCCAGTGTGAGTTTTAAGCCATCAGGATTCAAACCGCAGTCGACTACGTGTGAGTCCAGCGACCTAAGTATTACACCACCTGCTAGTCCAGGGTCCAGGCTCTTTCAGTCCACAGAAAGACACAAATCAATTGCCTTTTCTGACCCAATGAAGTTTACAGACCAACTGAGGAAATGCCGTGTGCACAAAGCAGCCATGCGCTGTATGAGGCAGAGGATGAAGAGCCAGAGTCATCTGAAATGGTCACAGACTGCCACAGTTCACAGAGGGCAAGAACGGGGTGCCCTGGAGTCTTCCTTCAGAGGGAAGCTGGCCCCAGAAGTGGCTTCATGAAGCTTGCACCCTGCACCATCTCCACTAGGCTGAAAGCTGCTGGGGCACCCTCACCCTCCCATTCAGCCTCTACACACCAGTTCAGCAAGCATTCAAGAGGACATGGGGGGACCAGCAGTTGGCGTAATGGCTATGTCGCTGGGCTCCCATATAGTCGACCGCGGTTCGCGTCCCAGACCTGGTGGCTTGAAACTCACGCCTGGCATGTGTGCGTGCATGCCCAAGATTCCGAGAGGAGAATGAAGGAGAAGGGATTGCGGCGTGGCCATCCCCCCTGGGGGGGTGATTTCTTGCTTTCTGTCTCTCTGTCTCTGTCTGGAGAGCGCACACGCCCTATAACAAAAAAAAAAAAAAACCTCTCCAAAAAAAAAAAAAAAAAAGAGAACCAGCAGTTAGCATAATGGCTATGTCGCTGGACTCCCATATAGTCGACCACGGTTCGCGTCCCGGACCCGGTGGCTTAAAAACTCACGCCCGGCGCGTGTGCGTGCGTGCCCAAGATCCCGAGAGGAGAATGGAGGAGAAGGGATTGCGGCGTGACCATCCCCCCTGGGGGGTGATTTCTCACTTTCTGTCTCTATGTCTCTCTCTGTCTGTCTGGCGAGCGCACGCGCCCTATAGGGAAAACCTCTTCAAAAAAAAAAAAAAAGAGGACATGGGTTTGCCGCCAGGTTCTGGTTGAGAACACGAGGATGAGTAACACCATGCCCTGAGTTCCTAACTTGCTGAAGGGAAAAGGATGCGTGAGTGGTCACCGCTGTCCTGAGTGTTTGTAGTGATGCGTGTATGAACAGCCAGAGCAGAGAGCCTTCTCTGTCTGGGGCCCTGAATACTGCTGCACGCACACAGCAGGGAGGGAGGGCCTTTACCTCCGCCTAGGGAAAACCAGGAAGTCTCTGTCATTTGCACTGACTCTTAAGGAATGAATCAGAAGGAGGGACCAGCAGGTGGCATAGTAACTAAAGCACTAGATTCCAACATGGCCGACTGTGGTTCAAGTCCTGAATCCAGAGGCTTACAAATCCTACCAGGTGCATGTGTGTGCATACCCAAAATGCCAAGAGGAGAGGAGAATGGTGGAGAAGGGATTGTGGTGTGGCCATCCCCCCGGGAGGTGTTTTTTCACTTTCCCTCTCATTCTCGCTCTCTGTTTCTCTGGTGAGACCACACATCTTGTGGTAAAAAACAAACAAACAAAAAAACTAAAACTAATAATAATAATAATCATCACCAAAAAAAAAAAAATGAAACAGGTAGCAGAAGGGAAAAAGGCACGTCAGAGGGAAGAGATGCAGCGAGCACAAGGTGAGAGGCGTGACGTCCACTGTGGGGGTGTCTGAGTGTGTGGCGTGAGGGGTTGTTGTGTGTCTGAGGAGAGAGACGTGTTCCATCGGGGCACGCTGTGGCTCCAGCCCTTAGCAGGGACTGTACTCCCTTTCTCTGAAACACAAGAGCGTTCCTGACCTGCCCCCTCCCCGCCCCTCTCCCTGCCCATGCCAGGGGCAGCAACAGGGCGACTGGCCAGACTTCCGTCCCTGCCTGCCACTTCAGCTCCATCATCACGCTTCGTGCCTCTCCTAACGAGATCAGGGCTGGGACTCGCCTTGGGCCGGGCTCTGGGAGCCACGCTGCCTGGAGGCTGCCCGCGAGAGCCCCCACACCCACACTCACGGACTCGCCTGCGATCCTGAAATCCACGGACCAGCGCGGGACCTGCAAACGTGAGAGGTTGGGAGAGGGCCTAGGCTGTGACCTGTGAGAAGGTGGCCCTGGCAGAGAGCAGGGCTTGGTGGGAGGAGGGCAGAGGGGTGCTGGGGGCACATAGGCAGGGGTGAGGCTGGCCGTGTGTGGAGAGGATCCATCGTAGAGCTGGGGGAGCGGGTTGTGGAGACCCTGCGGGGGTGATGACTGGAGAACGTGGGAGGAGAGCGGGAGCAGGTGGCAGGGGAAGAACGAACAGTCACCTCTGCGTTCCTCACAGGGGCACTCGGTGCAGGGTGGAGGGGACCATGCCCCGGCGCTGTGGGGGTGGGGAAGCCCAGGCTGCGAGAGAGAATGCAGGGCACAGCCGCCAAATGGGCATCTGCTTCCCGGGCTTCCCGGCTCCGGGGCCAGCTCCCCCCACCCAGCAGAACTCCCAGAGGTGTCCCTCCCCAGGTGGGGGCTGTCGAACAAGGAACATGCACTGCTCCGCTGAGCCCTCCCTTAGGTTGAACCTTGAAGCTTCGGTCAGGCCAGCTGGTGCCTGGGAGCACTGTGGGCTCACACTGCCCTCTCCGACCAGGCTATTGGATCTGCCCCTTCCCTGCTGTGCCAGGACAGAGAAGGCTCTCCCGAGACCATCTGTTCCAAGCGCCCAGAGACACATGGTCTCAAGATCTCCAGGGATGAGGCAGTAAAGAAGGGAGGGTCATATGAACAAAGGAAAACCCTCTGGCCTGAGAGTCAGAAAATCCAGTCTCTGGCCCTGGTGCCGTGTGACCTTGGACAAGTCGCCTCATCTCTCTGGGCCTGCCAGTTTCCTCGTCTACAGAGTGAGGGAGTTGGAGGAGATGGTCATCAGGAGGCCTTGCAGCTGGGTTCAGTATGTGGTCTATAGGAGACAGTGGGGGTGGGGGGAGCATCGCTGAAGAGCCTAGGGTGCAGACAAGGATTTGGGGAGACATCTTAGCTGCCCCTGAACCCCCCATCCCACCTGCAGCAAGGTCTTACCCAGAGGCCCGCCTGAGGCACTAAGCAAAGAAGGTCTCTCCCTGTAAAGGCATTTGGGGAGGTACTTCCCAGCCCCCCCAGGACCCTACACAATGCCCTCTGGTGTTTAACCCTCTTTAGGCCCTACCCCACGCCTCCTGTCCATTTCCTCTCCTCCTGGCAGAGTTAGAGAATTTCTTGCACCCTCCTCCTGCGCCTCTGTGAACTTGAGGTTGACCTTCAAATCCCACCCTCCCCGGTGCACCTTCTCTTTGAGCACTGGGACCTCAGACTCCCTGCGTTGGGGCCGTGCAGGGGGCAGTGCAGAGTCCATCAGCTCAGCCCCGCTTGACCACTGCTCTCTGGCTGGAGAGAACAGCTGCAAAGGCAGGTTCCACCCTCCACGGAGCCCACTGCAGCCTTCTCCGACAGCTTGTTTCTCTGCCAGCGAGGGGCAGGCTCCTCTCTTGGGAGGTGGTCACCCTCTGCCCCTCAGAGATGTGGCCTTATTAGGAGAGAAGAGAGTGAGAGAAGGAGAGACAAGGGTGGAGGTGGGGTGGGGAGAATTCCTTCTCCTCCAGGAAAGAAATGGGGAGGGGACCCCTGAGGAAAGAGGAGGGTAAATGCAGGACAACCTGGAAGAATGAGAATCCGGATTGCCACCTGCCTGGCTGTGCCAATCCAGGCCCCACTGCAAACGGCCCTTCCATCAGTCCCCCCTCTCCGAAAGCTGGGAGTCTCTACTGGGGAACAGTATGGGGGGCATGGAAGGGGTGAGCTTCAGGTTTGAGGTTTTAAGCACAACAACATGCAAATGAGGGCGGATGGGAATCTGGCTCCGGAGAAAGATGGTTTAGCCCTCTGGCCACAGAAGTCAGAGGAGTTAGCGTAATGGCTATGTCGCTGGACTCCCACGTAGTCGACCGCGGTTCGCATCCCGGACCCAGTGGCTTAAAACTCACGTCGGGCGCGTGTATGTGCGTGCCCAAGATCCCGAGAGGAGAATGGAGGAGAAGGGATTGCAGTGTGGCCATCCCCCCTGGGGGGTGATTTCTCACTTTCTGTCTCTCTATCTCTGTCTGTCTGGCGAGCGCACGCGCCCTATGGCAAAAACCTCTCAAAAAAAAAAAAAAAAAGAAAAGGGAGGCTTCTGGGGCCAGTGGCTTAAAACTCACGTCGGGCGCGTGTATGTGCGTGCCCAAGATCCCGAGAGGAGAATGGAGGAGAAGGGATTGCAGTGTGGCCATCCCCCCTGGGGGGTGATTTCTCACTTTCTGTCTCTCTATCTCTGTCTGTCTGGCGAGCGCACGCGCCCTATGGCAAAAACCTCTCAAAAAAAAAAAAAAAAAGTCAGAGGAGGCTTCTGGGTGGGCCTCACTTTCTTAGGAATTCCTGAAGATCTTTTGGTTTGGGGTGATGTATAGGGGAAAGGTGAAGAGGCAGCTCTTCCTACCACTGGGGATGCCCTCCTTGCCCCGCTGAAACTCAGGAAGGGGTGAATCTACTGAAAACTTGTGCAGCTGGGAGTGGGGAGGGCTGCACTCCAGATATACATGGGTGTGACCATGGAGACGCTTGAACGTGGATATTCGACAGCTGCAGCACACACATTCCTTGACCCCCTGTGCTTGTGTGGATGAGCTTCCATAACCCTCTGTACTCACATGCACACTGCATCCGTACATACGTAATAACGTGTGTGCCCCCCACGCGCACACAGAGGTATGCAGCTATCTAAGGAACAGTCCCACATCCACACTTGCAAACTCTCTTTATCTGTAATCATCAGTTTCTGAAAAGCTGAGTCGATATTTGATAAACTAGCACTCTTTTGTTCACTGCGTACCAAATTCTAAGTCCGTGTCCCAAGTGGACAAAGCGTTCCTGGGAAGGGCTGTGCCTTACTCATTTCTGTACCTCCGGAAACAAGTCCACCCAATAAACACCCCATAAATACTGATGGAGCACATGCAAAAAAAAGTGTTCTTCAAAGAACCGCAAGACCCCTTTCTTGCAGACGTTTCCCTAAATCTAGCCTAGCAACTAACAGTTGTGTTCCGAGTGTGTGACTGTGTAAGAGAACATCTATGTAAAGGCACACGTGTGTGCCTAGTTTGTAGGAAGGTGTGTAGACTGGGGCACCTTTTCCTGCTCGTGTTTGTGAGTGCGTCTGTGTGGAGGTGTGTGAACGAGCCTATACCAGGTGCCTGCACCCACCTGTGTGTCAGTGTGGGATGAGCTTAAAAGAGACTCCAGGACCAGCAGATGGCGTGGTGGTTGTCACTGGACTTTCATGTGGTTGAGCCTGTTTCAAATCCAGACCCGGTGGCTTCAAAATCACGCAGAGTGCAGGTGCATGCATGCCCGAGGTCCCAGGAGGAGATGGAGGCAAAGAGATTTCTGGGGGATGGTTTCTCACTTTCCCTCTCACTATCTCTGTCTCTGGCAGGCATACAGGCCTTAAGGCAAAAACTTTTTAAAAAAATAAATAAAGAGAGAGACGACAGTGGGGTGGAGGAGAGAGCAGACCTCTGGAGAGCCCCACACACAGTCCCGGCCTCAGGCACGTGCACACACAACTGAAGGACAGAGAGTGTGGCCCGTGGCCTGGAGTCTTCAGGCATGTGGTGGGAAGTAGGGGACATTTGTGAGCTGTTCCCACAGAGCTCCAAAGAGTCCTTCCCACCCGCCCAGTGCTGGATACTGAAGTGATGCCACCCTGTTCCTGCCCCCAGGACTCTATGAGGCTCCCGGCCTTCCTGAGTCTGCTGGCCCTGCTGCTGCCAGAGGCAGAGACAGCTTCTCTCCCAAAGGGGAGAAGGTGGGGCAAGCGGAGCCCCGGGGAGGATGAGACTTCCACAGCACCGCCCCCGGGGAGCCAAACCCTGGGCCTGGACCACGTGGGCAAGCTCGCCAACCTGAGCCTCTCCGAATTGCTCACAGACCCAGGGGACCGGCTTCCCAAGGTGAGGAGCATGGCGCCTCAATGGAGCTGGGGCCTCTTGCTCTCCACCTGCACCATAACGTGTCGCAAGCTTCCGTCATCCTCTATGGGATGGGACTTCCTGTGCCTCTACAGGAATTTATCACTTAAATAGTACCAGGACAGGTAACACCATTTTCCATTTGTGACACCCGCCCCCTTAGAAGTCACACATCCCTCCCTGCCATCAAGTCAGACCACATCTCCTGGGGCAGGGGTCAACCATGACCTCATATTCTCCCTAGAAAAGGAAACACCACCCTCACCCCATCTCTATTCTCAGACGGCTCTCCAGGCTGAGGTTCGGTCCCAGCCCTCCTGGCCTTCCCAGGGGCTGACCGGTGGCGATGCGGAGCTCAAGGCTGGCCAACTCCATCATTAGCGTGGAGCGTGGTCAGTGTGGGGCCAGGAAGAGCACCAGCCTGGGAAGCCCGGGCACCTGGTTCTGGGACCCTCATTTCCTCTCTCTGGGCCTCAGTTTCCCCATCCGTGTAGTAGGTACTGGACTCTCAGGGCCTTTTCCTGCTCGCCTTCTGCTGTCCTTCCCTCCTCCACTCCATGGGGGCTCTTCTCTTGACAAGGTCGTAGTTAGTCACTGAGGCTCCCAGAGTTCAAAGTCGAGTCCCTCGCAGGGAGAAGCCAGCTTGCCGTATGCTTTGTCTCCAGGTAAACGTGACCAGCCTGGCTCCTCCAAGCGGGGTCAGTCCCGCCCAGAGCACCGTGGCTCCAACGACACCCTCACCAAAGCCCATGACAACCAGGCCCACTACGCTGGGCCCACTGGACTCCACCACCAGCCAAGGTAAGCGCACAGACACAGGGTCACCATATTCCCAGGTCATAGGTTAAGCAGCAATGGGGTTACCAAAATGGAGGAGGGTGGAGCAGGGAGAGGGGGAAATGGCCACAGTAACAACAGGGAAAAAAATCCAAGGGCCAGGCTGGCTGTTCCTAATACTTTCACCTGAACGCACAAAACGGGAAGGAGGGACAGAACTTGAAGAACCCTCATGTGCCCTGGCAAAGCCACCCCATCTTCATTAACGGCATCACCGGGGAGCAGGTCGTGTGGTAGTTAGAGACAATTAAGAGCTATAGAGAAGAATAGCTTGTGGCTCTCCCTTGGCACAGGGGCACATGAGACAGTCACACCAATTTTTGGCCCAAAATTCCTCCTTGGCAGCTCTCGTTCTCTCCCTAGTTCCCTCCTGGGGACACTGGCGTCCCTGGTAGGAGGGGACTGACGCTGCGCTGGGGTCCAGATGCTGGGGCAGAGGAGGATGAAGTTCCCTCTGGGCTCATTTGCCCTCAGCTTCCCTGTTCTCTTCTTGAGAACAAGTGTTGGCCTTGGGGCCTGGTATTGGGGCATCAGAGAGGCATCGGCCAGGAGCCAAGGACCTCTGAGTTGCAGGGCCTCAGCTGCACCTGCCATCTGAGGCCTGGGGATAAGGGCGCTGGGGTCAGCCCTGCTCTACCTATTCTACTGACCACTGCTGACAGAGAAGCCTAGAGGCTGGGTCCCTACTGCCAGGCTCTTCCTTGAGTGGAGCTAATATGTTGGTCCCCCAGGACTCTGTGCCTTGTGACAGCGAGGGCCACCAACTACCTGCACTCTAGTTGTGGAAGCCGGTTAAGTGTTCCCAGCTTGTTAAAGCCAGCCCGAGTCGGACAGCCGGGCCTGTCTCGCGAGCTCTGGGTGGAGAGATGGGGTCATGGGCTGAGAGCAGGATGTCTGTTTCCCAATGGACACGTGGAATGCTAGTGCCAGAAGGAAGGGAAACGGACACTGGGCAGGTTCTGTCCACTCTACCTTGGCTCCCTCGTGCTTCCTGGAGCCACAGAGAACACGTCTAACTCTTCCCCCGGGAGGCAACTGGCAGAACCAGCAACCACTGACCATTCCCCTTCATCCTGGCTTCCTTTCATCTTCACTGAACCTTATGGGAGCAGAGAGGAGCCCCATAGGAGAGAGACAAAGGATGTCCTAGAAACACCAGCAGAAGCCCAGGAAAACCTACACAGGACAGGCTCCGATGAAAGCGTGAAGGGGCTTGGACTGGGTGGTAACGAGGAAGGGCTGCCTGTCTTGGGTTGAGGGCTGAGGCACAGGCTGGGAGCAGCCCACGGCACTGTGTAGGTGCTTCGTGCCAGTCAGTCTGGCCTGCAACCCACAGGCTATCTAGGACACAGATGGCTCAGACACTCCCTGGGGCAAGGCCGTCGGCCCTAGAGGCTAAAGGGCATCTGGCAGCGATGGCCCCTTGTTCCGTCTTCTGTCTGGGCCAGGCCTGCCCACCTGCCTGGTCTGTGTGTGCCTGGGCTCCTCTGTGTACTGTGATGACATCGACCTGGAGAGCATCCCTCCTCTTCCCCGGATGACCGCCTACCTGTACGCCCGCTTCAACCGCATCCGCCACGTCAGGGCCGGAGACTTCAAGGGACTGAGTATGTAATGCCCTGGAGAAAAGGGCACCCTCGGGGTCCTTTCCCTTGCCAGCCCCACATGAGCGGTCACCAGACGCGGTGTTAGCTTTCCCCAGAAGTGCCCAGTCTCTCACGGGGAAATGACCCAGTCTCTCTCATTCCTTTCCCTGAAGAGTTAGAAAGTGGCTTATTCTCGTTTGCTGTCCCGAGAGATCTGGGAAACCGAGGAGGAGAGGTATGACCAATCTGACATTTTCAGAATGTTCCAGCAACTGTAACTCAGGCCAGCTGGCTCCGAACAAGACCTTCCTGTGTGTACGCTTCACAGCGCTGATGCTGCTTACGTGGTTGTTTGGTTTCTGTATGCCTCGTGCCCTGCTTGAGACTGGAGAACTGGGCTCTGATCCAGATCCGAACACTAATTACGCAGCCTCCCAGCCCTCCGGCGCTTCTGTGTAAACTAATGGGGAAAGAAGGGGCCCCGAAGTTCCCAGGCTTGTTGGATCTTCACCCAAACTGATCCAAGGTGGGCAGCCACCTCCCAAGACAGAACTCCAGGGAAAGTATCGAGGAATCCGAGGGCTTTTCCAAGGAGTCCTGATTTATGATACTTCCTGTTATTTCTTCCGGCGTGGACCCAGAACAGTTGGAGAGCTGGTTGGAACTCCCTTGTCTGGAGAGAGATGGAGCTGGGTATGCAGGTGGATCCCACTTGGAGGGAGGAAAGATGGGGGTGTTCCAATAGCTCTCTTTTTCTCCACTATCCCTCAGCAAAACTGAAAAAGATCGACCTCTCCGGCAACTTCATCTCCTCCATCGATAACAATGCCCTCCGCTTGCTGCCTGCCCTGCGGGATCTGGTCCTCCTAGAGAACCAGCTGGCAGCTCTGCCCATGCTGCCCCGTGGCATCGAGTTCCTGGACGTCCGGCACAATCGGCTCCGGAGCCCAGGGATACAGCCCGGAGCCTTCGAGGTCAGTCAGAGCCATTGGGCCCCCATCTCCCACCTCTGAGCACGGCACCACCACCCACGGAACATGCCCTCGTGGACTATCCCTGCTTCAACCTTATTCTGGGGCATAAGACAACCAAACCACATTTTGTTTTCATCCTGTGCCATTTGTTTATTAAAGGATCTTTTGGTGGCAAGAATGGATTTTGAACTGAGAGAAGGACGCTGTTCCAACCACCCCCATGAGTGAGAAATACCACTGTGAGCCCCATGGGCCCATTACTGGCAATGGGGGGTCAGAAATCAAGGCCGCCTCCCTCGGTGGGGCACACAGTCTCTTGCCTTGGCTTTTTCTATGCCCCTATTCCACTTGCCTCTCTGCACATGCGTGTCCTCGGCAGACACACAGCTTCTCCGGGACCTGCTGGTGTTCACATGGCTTTACTTGCCACGGCGTTGACTTCGCTAATTTCACATATGCTTTTCTTGCCCAAACCCACCAAGAATCGACTAATTATTGTATTTTTGTGATCAAACCCTCAGGAGAGACCATTGGATCTCCACTGGTCATTGGCTGGCCAGTTTGGATGGGAAGGGCTAAGCCCCGTGAGACACATGTGGCCCCCTGGGACTGCCCATTCAGCAGGGCTGGGAAGAGTCCCAGGTGCAGGTCCAGCGGAGAAGTGGAGTGTGCACAGCATGCTAACCGAATTCCTGGGAATGACCTCAAAAACCAACTTCCCACTCTCCCTGTCACATGGTCTTCATTTAGACTCACTTTCGTGCTCTGGTTCTCGTGGGTTTTTATGCAAACTACTTAGAAGCATCGAGTAAATCAAATTAGAATTGTCTTTTTGAAACAGGGTAAGGACACAGAGGCATACCTGCCTATTCTCTTCCCTCTCCCCAGAAATCTTCCATACCCCCTCAGTCTTCCACCCACTGGGTTCTTGAGGGTTTGTTGGTGTGGTTTGGTTTATTTGTTTTTAGAGAGATTTTTGCTACAGGACATGTGCACTCACTGGAAAGACAGAGAAAAAAAGTGAGAAATCACCCCCCATGGGGAGGGATGGCCACGATGCAAACCCTTCTCCTCCACTCCTTTTGGGATCTTGGGTACACAGGCACATGCGCCTGGTGTGAGTTTCAAGCCTCAGGATCGGGACTCAAATTGCAGTTGGCCATACAGGAGTCAAGGCCTTAAGCACTACGCCACCTGCTGGCCCTCTTGAAGAGGTTTTTACAGAACACAGTGTCAATCCCACTGCTGTGGTGAAGCACCGGACTGAGAACAGAGCCCCGCTGTGTGACCATGGACCTCAACTGCCCATCTCTAAGTGGAACACTGGGTCTATGTGACCACTGAAGTCACTGGAGAAGCCTGAGACATCCTGGCTGTCTCCATATTAGGGGCACTTCTTTTTCTTTTTTTTTGGAGAGGTTTTTGCTATAGGGCGCGTGCGCTCGCCAGACAGACAGAGAGAGACAGAGAGACAGAAAGTGAGAAATCACCCCCCGGGGGGATGGTCACGCCGCAGTCCCTTCTCCCCCATTCTCCTCTCGGGATCTTGGGCACACATGCACAGGCGCCCAGCATGAGTTTTAAGCCACCAGGTCCGGGACGC